ACCAGGGCCTGAGTCCTCTCTGGCCGACCAGATGCCCACCCTGGACTAGGGGTCCTGGCTGGGCTGCCTCACAGCCCGTCGGCTCGGCACCACGACTCCCTCCACATTAAGGTGGAAGATCCAGTAGTGCCCGGGGTGGGGCCTTGAGCCCTGGGCCACGGGACCCTGGGTGGCCATGTGGCCTGCAGGTGGGGCATCTCCTCTGCCCAGGCGCTGAGCAGGCCACGCCACGGGTTAGAGCCCGACGGCTGAATCTCACAGCTCTGAAGTCGGGCCCCTGAGAGCGTGGCCTAATGGCTTTAATGAAAGATTTCCCATAACCACCTCGTAAGCCATTTTCCTCGAGCCAAGCTCAGCGGCAGGGGCCTGGGGCCACACTTGGCGTAGGTGGGGGGTGAGGTGCTCACAGTCATTCCTTCACCTGTCCATCCATCCGTCCAAACACAGGTGGACAGCTCCCCTCCCCCCAACACTCCAGCAGCAGTAACCATGGCCCAGTGACCCCGGGTCTGCAGAGCCGGCAGGGACGTGGCTGGACTCAACCTTGTGTCCAGTCAGTGTCCGTTTCCCATCCCCAGGATGGGGGAAACCAAGGCTCAGGGGGTCCTGCCACCTCTCCTAAGCCCATGCCCAGAATGGGGGCACAGAGGAGCTTCTGGGCCACCTGCCCACCTGCATCAGCCACGGAGGTCACGTGGCTCCCCAGGGCTCCAGGGGTTCCTCACGGACAAGGGGGGCACGGGATCAAGTGTAATCCAACCCCTGACCTTTTCCCTCCACCCACAGCAGCAGCAACAGCAGCAGCAGCAGCAGCTGCCACTTCCAGAACCCGGTGGATGGGGACGGGTGTTTATTTATATTTCCCCAGCCTGGGCCAAGACGCCGGCTGGGCAAACGCGTCAGGCCAGGGGATGGGCAGCCTGGATCCCAGGGCGGCAAGGGGAGGAGGGTGCGGAGTGGGAGGGGCCGGAGCCGGTGGCCCGACCCAAACGCTGCCGCTTCCAGCCCAATAAATAACCGCGAGGTGTGGGTAGCACTGGGGGCCTCACAAGCACACTCCGGGGTGGTGGGGTGTGCACCCCCTCCTGAAAACATGTGGCCCGGACGGTGTCGGGGGCCTCTGGGCCTGCTCCCCTCACAGCTGCTGAAGGGGCAAGCAGGGCTCCGGGGTTGGGGGTCTCAGGGCTTCCTCAGTCTGGCTCTGGGTCACGGCTTGGTGCCGCGCACAGACAGCAGCACTGCAGACCCGGAGCGGAGCCACCAAGGCAGCTCCCCAAGTCTACCCGATCCCCACCAGGGACCCCAGACTCCTTCCGGAAAGGCCGG